TGATAACCGTTCACATTCGGGGCTGTAGGAGAGGAAATTTCTGACAACTAGATAGTTAGCGAAACAGCTAAGGGGCAAGAGGTAAAGGCAAGTATAACGTAATACTTCCAAAACAATTGAATTTTCAAACAAATTACACGCGTGAAAAACGAGGTGCTGGGAATACGTGAATAGTATTAGTGAAAGTAGGTGTGAATGGCAATAAGCCTTTACAGAAAGTATGCGGCAACTTAAGCATTTAATAAGAAGCACTTAATGAGTACTTTAAGAATATGTATAGTTTATGGTGGGCTCTCGACCCATACAGGTGCATTGGTCAGTTGAAGTGGCGATATGGGGGATATGCTTGGGGTGTCCTATAATGAGTATATTATTCAAAAAAGTTCTTCTATTTTCAATCTTTCAGTATTACATATTTTACATGTTGCCCTTTATATTTTAAGATGTGACGTCGGTTCTGGCAATCGTCACTTTTATTGCCAGCCCTCGAGTTCGGTCATACACGGTATAAACATAGCCTTTCTACACACAAAGGCCCTTAAATGATACGATAGTCCGCCACAATATAATTTCTATTTTATTGGGACATTGGTATTCTTTCCTGTTGACTTCCAACTTCTTCATCCTCTTCTTTCAAGTCCTGTTCGCTAGCTCCACTTGGCAAATAATATCCCAATAAAATAGAAATTGTATAAAGAACAATATGTAAAATATGTAAGATTAAAGATAAAACAACTTTTTTAATGATATACTCACTATAGGGATATAGCATATCCCCCATATGCTATAGGCCTAAGCATATCCCCCATATCGCCACTTCGACTGACCAATGCACCTGTATGAGTCGAGAGAGCCCACCATAAACTATATATACATATGTATATTCTTGAAGTACTCATTAAGAGCTTCAATATGATATGTAATATGACTCACTTCCATCAAGGAAAATTTTTCATATAGAAAATTGACGCTTACTTATCAAGAGCCTACTGTAATATGGGTAATGGAATCCTATGGAAATTCAAGCATCATTCATATAAGATGGCATTGCAGTCTTTTTTATACCACAAAATCTGAAAAGTCCATTACCATTTTACGCGCATAACCGATTGGGAATTTAAAAAAATTAACATTTCCTTTTTTTTGTTAACTAATAAAAAATATTAATTCCAAGCTGTAAATTGTATAATTCACTGTTCATTTTAGCGAAGAATCAACTGTTCTGTATTAAGAATATTAACGAGAAGTCTATGTAGCCATTTTTATCAATCCCTAACCCTCAGACGGTGGACCATGGGGAGAGCCCCAATTTTAATTTAATTTTGTATTTCATATTATTTTCGTTCAAAAATTATGCATTGAACTTTAGGTTAAAATCCTTGTATATGTTTTGAAAGTTTGGGTCACGATTGACCCAAACTCCATTGTCCAAGGGTTAAGCTTCAAATTAATGTGCCATAAATGCTACTTTGCAGTACTTTTATGTTATCAAATCGTGTCAGAGTTTTTATGTCTCCTTTGATCATTTGATATGCAATGACCTAATAAGTATGAAGTCCATAATGAATAATTCCTTCTTCATGTCAAATATAATAATTTCAAAATATATTCTTAACTTCATTCTTTTGTGTAACATTATAATAGCAGTTTTAATTATGTATTCTGTAGTTAAAATATTGAAAAGAATTGTATAGAGCTCGCGGTATTATTTTATTTTTTTTCTCGTAATACTTTAAAGATAATTCTTTTGTATATATAATACAATAGCACTTTTTATTCTGTGTTCTGCCGTTTCAAACTGAAATTGTATGACATAGAAACTAATTGTGATATTATTTTAGGTCATTATTGAACAATCAAGAATTATTCATTGAAAAAAAGTAAAAGATTTGATTCATTTGTAATACAATTGAAATAGTGTATTTTATGCACCTAACATTGCTTCTACATATTTAATTGTTGTGATTTTTGTTCCGTTGTTTTTTCAATCATAAATTTAATTGCATATTTTGCAATTATATTTGTAATGGCATTATTAATATAATGCAGTGTTTTATTATAATGCATGTATTTCGTTGAAAATTCAAGTTGCTGAACTAATTGTTTAAAATAACTTATTATGAATTATTAAGTTTATAATCCTGGGCTGAAAAATTTTCTATACTACAATATATTGTAAATATGAGAAAATATTTTTCAAAAAGTTGAGAGTATAATGTTTGTGCTTTTCTTATGATTAATTTCATATTTATTGCAGTCCTAAATAAAAATTCTCGCTTCTTAAAATGTAATTTGCAGGTTGCATTGTAAGCTGTAATATTTTTATCCAATTAAAAACACCATGAAGGTATAAGTAATGAAATTTTGTACGGGTAGTAGATGTTCTTCGTATGTCATAGTGCTTCATGATGCCACGCCTAATGAGTTAATTAAAGCACCGACGCTTTTAATTAATTAAAACCATGTGCTTTGATAAATATGACACAAAAGATTGTATTAAACGTCAGAAAAATTCTAAACTTCGTCTATCACCTTAAATAATTCAAGAATTTTATTTCATAAAAACACTAATATTTTGTTAATAACGCTTCCGCAACTATAAATATATTTTCCATGGCAAAATTTGATAACAGATTATGAAAATAAATGCAATTTTTCAGAATTATCACTGGCCTTATTAACTAGAGTGGTCCTGGCCCCCCTAAACATTTGGACTGGTCTCAAAAATGTGGTCCTTCACCATTTTATAACTTTAAAATTCCAATATTTCAGAATTCCGAGACTAAATAATTCAAAAATTATAAATCGTAAAAATTTCAGAATTCTATAGATTTGATCTATAGATCAAAGATTTAGAATTTCACATTTTTAAAATAATTTCAAAATTCAAAAATTCTATAATTCCTGAATTTCGAAATATCAAAATATCATAATTTCGAAGATCCCCTATTACAAAATTCCAGAATTTCAAAATTCAAAAATTCTATTAATCAAACGTTTAAAAATTTTTAAATTCCAAAATTCTAAAACTTCTAATGAGTTCAATTTCGTAGCTCCATTTGTTGCTAAACATATTTACATTAAGTTTACTCCTTCTTGCGTCGACGGGAAGGTTACATTTATTTACAAAATAAAATTTGTATATAACAGAAAATATGTAAAAGGTGGAACTGTCTCATTGCTGCAAATTCTTCATTTGCAGAAATGAAATTCGCAAAGTGAAATGTCCGCAATAAAAAGAGGAAGAATAATTTTTCCAACCTATCATTACGATGCTCTGTAATTGGCACGTTTATGCGACTTTTAATTACGGCTACTATTCGCCTCAATAAAAATCGGTCGACATCGAATCTTTTAATGTCCTTTTATTACCGTACCATACTCATCCACCGTGTATTTACGTGAATCTATGTGGTTTCCTTGATCGTATTTTAACGAAGCCTATTGTAAATCGTGGGAACAAAGAGAAATCGCTCGACGAAACAGGAAATTATAGGCCCGTTGAATCTCCGGTTCGATCCACGAGTTTCTTTGATCAAACACCAATGAAACATGGTTATAGTTTTCAGAATACACAGGCACTTTAAGATATACGGCGTAAAACGTAAAAAATTAGGTTTCCATTTTGTAAATAAAATGTCTGTAGATACACAAAATCTGATAGATAAATTTTTAATATCAGGATGTTAATAATTTAAAAAGATAAAATTAGAATAACAATTAAAGAATAAATCCACGACTATTAAATGTAATGTACAGCATCGAGTAGACTTCCCTAGAGGAAATGAAGTTACAGGGGAAGCAGGAATTCTCGTAACGTTACTTTTGACGATATTAATATTGCTAAGAAAAATAATATAATTTTTAATTATTAAATACTATAAAATTTAGTGTATAACTAAGAAATATGAATAATAAAATAAGTATCAATTCAAATTTGCCGCGTAAACGTTTATACGCAAATGGTGGGGAGTCGCGAACCTATATATACTGTTCACCGATCGCAAGAAGTCGCAATCTGATTGGTCGCTCCCCACCTCAGCTCACACGTATTTTCAGTCCTGACGTATAATTGGTCGAAGCGGTCACATCTACTATTTAGACTCGTCACAGCCGACTCTAGTACTAGCCATGCTGAACAACGTGGCAACACCGCTCACGTGACAATCGGGAGTCCTATTTTCAAAAACAGAGTCCTGTGTTCGGAATTGTAATTAATGTCTTTTTTAATTAAAAGCTGTAGTCATATACACTATTTTGTGTTAATTATGTATAAACAATATATAAACGTTGCAACTATGGCAAATAGAAGTGATGTGGTAGTATAAAATTGTTATAAATGTGATATATATTTTGTGTACTCTCAAAGTAGTTTGGTGTTGTGAAACATGATATTTGAAATATTTACAGTGGTTTCAAGAAAATTTAGGTATGAAGCAAAATGAAACCATCTTTGGATCAAATTGAAACATTTAAGAATTGATAAACGTGTATATAAGTTAATAAAAACTTTGAAACAAGCGAAATTATTGGAACGAAACCAAAGAGGTTATGTGAAGTCCAGAGAGTAGTCGGGAGTCTGACGACGTTGATTGGCTGAGAGTCTGGGAGTCCGGGAGGCAGATAGAGTAGGGTAGGTGTTGATATATTCAGACCGGACTCCCGCGGTGTTGCCATTTTTACTTCAGCACGGCTAGTACTAGAGTCGGCTGTGGGACTCGTGTAAAACTAGGGGATTAATCGATGTGTGCGTAGTACGTTTTCTTGTCCCTATGTCGTCCCACGAAACTTTATGTAATCGGTGCACAGTATGTATGTGTGTACATACAGGGTCTACCATTTATCTCAGAACCCGTGCGCAATTAACATTATAGCAGTGAATAGTTCTTACAAATAGATATAACAGCCAAGAAAATCATGAAGCAAAAGATTAACAAGCAATAAAGTTAATTATTTTCGAACGATTTCATTCACACCTATCTTTCACTCTATATTTCTAGGAATGTCAACCAGAATTCCTGCACGACCTCGTCTTAAAAATGAAAGCCTACATATTCACGCCCGGTGATTCCATCTGTCGCAAAGGTGAAGTGGCAAGAGAGATGTTCATAATAGCCGACGGAATTTTGGAAGTGATTAGCGAAACAGGAAGAGTTCTAACTACCATGGAAGCCGGGGACTTCTTCGGAGAGATTGGCATTCTGAACCTCGACGGTTTAAACAAGTAAGTAACTTTAGCTATCTACTGTGCTACATTCAGTCTCAAACTCACAGTCGCTTGTCAAGAAAGTACAGTTCCAAGCAAAGTTGGTTTCCCTAGGGAGAATTGCAACGTAGGGTGTTACGTTCCCGACTTTGAAAATTTCCTTATTCGAAGTTGGATGTATACAGCAAGCATAGTCAGCAAGGTCGCGATCCCTCGGGACCACGTAACGTCCGTCCCCCTGCTCTTTCTACTCCACAATTTTTGGGTATAAAAAGAATGGCAACGAAGGCACCTCGGGTTTATACTCAGGTCAAGGAAGTATGGTGTCAACGTCTTCGTGACTCCGAGACGAATCACCAAGTCAAATCAAACAACTCCCTCGCTTTCAATATGATCGACTCTGCGACTGCGGTCATTGGCTGACACATGTTACAACTCAGGGCCAAGTTATGGTGATTCCTTGCCGAGGGCTCTTACATGCAAGGTCGGGCTTATCTTCCGATGCGATGTGGGGATCCGGTACCACTGATATGTATACTATGGATTGGAGATGCTTGAAGCGATTTGAAGGTGGTTTTGGTGTGATGCACCACCATCGTTCGACCGGTGTACTTTACTTCCCCTCACCCCGCGACCGCCCGCGGTACTCTGTCTTGTCTTTCGACAGTCTCTCGTCGGTGGCGGTACTCAAAATCTTACCGCTGATTGGCTATTTCCTTTAATACATCGGTCGAACGGTGGCGGCTTTGGCAAGTAAAGTCTCCTTCAATTCGCTTCAACCGCTGTACAGCTGGCTTATGGGAATCTCGTATCCATAGTATATATATCAGTGTCCTGAACCCGTAAGTGCGACGCTCAGCTGCGCGGTTCGTCGGCGGCAGAGGGGGCTAGTCTCCTACTCCGCGGATCTTGCAACTGAAGCTGCGCGCTGATTGGTCAATTTTTCAATTTTCAACAGCGAAATGTGGCTAAACTACTGATCCCGAAAAATGCTACAGAACTTTTCACTTCGATTTTTCGTGATCTATCCAGCGATGGAAAGGTCTTCAGAGTATTTTTTAACACCTTGTAGAAACAGAACTTGGCTCAGTTGTATGGGACATCCTGTATATGGTTAGGACGTAGGTGTATGTAGCTTAATTACAACTTTACATTACAAATATTGAATATTTGCAATAATGGTTATAATAGATTTTGAAGTATTTATAATTTACTTTCTTCCCTTATTACTTTGGATCCCGATCTCCCCTTGTCTGAACTTAATATAAAATTTTCAGCATAATTCACGCTCGATCACACATACTTCAAAAATAATCTGAATTCCAACGAAATGATAAAAGTTCCAGGAAACTTTTTTGTTCCGGCTGGTTGTTTTGGTTTCCAGCGAGCGAGCCCGCTACAAGTTCTGCAATCGTTTTATTTGGTGCACTGATTCAAAATGCGAAAAATTGTACGCAGAAAGCGTATAGTTGAAATATCGGACACGACGGAATATGCGGCAATGGAACGAAAAGTGAAATCGATGAAGTCACATTTCATTCCTGCCCCCTTTTTGTTTTTCCGTGCTTCCTGACCCTGACACACATATTTACTCGTTCCACTTCCTCGATTTTCTTTTATATTATTGTTTCTCACCTCTGGAGTATATCCACTTGAAATATTGTTTGCTGTTTGAAGATTTATGGCGATACTGAAGAATTTAATTTTCAAAATCGTTGAAGTTATTGTTACTCGATAACATTCGTAAGCGAAAGAACGATGGCAATTTATTTCTTGTGCGATGATGTAAATGTTATTGAAGATAGAAAAGAGTGAATTTTTATTCAATATTCTGACAATTAATTTAATGGGAATTTTCTTTATTTATTTTTCGAAAAACACGAGTATAAAATAATATTAGTTAAGTCCATAGTACTGATTTTTACTGCAATCGTATAAATTGAAAATCAATTCTCTTAAATTCTCCCTCCCTGTATAGTATCGAGCATGGTAGACTTTCCTAGGGAATATGACGACGTCGCCCCTCGAAGGTTTCCCTTTCCCCGTACTCCCATCCTGCCCCATGGGGGGCTTCGAGGCAAATGACGATATATGGAAGAGGCTCCCATGCTAACTCAAGCACGTTGAGTACATACAGTAAAAGCTGGATATATGCAACGAAAGATTGGCTGGATATATGCAACATCGCTATCCCCTCCACTTGGAGGGATCCCCCTAAGTGAACCGAGGCGCTCGACGCGGAAGCCGTGTAATACTATCCGAACCGTTATATCGGTGTGACTAATACTAATTCAACGATAAAACTTTTTTATTTTATAACTTTTTCTTAATGAAATTTTTACTAACGCATTTGTGAGATTTTTCTGATTAAAATGATACCAAACACGATATAGTTTGAATTATATTCATTTATTTATTTATTAATTCTGAATATGCTGCTGAACTATTGACTGCAAATTAGGTGCTTTATAATGTTAGGAACAGCCCGTGATTTCCATGAAACCGGACAGTTTCTTCCTATTGGAAATTAAAGTAATTTACAAGCTAACAATAATAAGAGAATGATAATAGAATAAATAAACAATAATAATAGAATAAACAACATAGAAATGACACCTCGGTTACATATGTATAAGGCAGGCCGTACACCAAAGATACATCAAACACGCAACATGCAACATGCAACACGTCGCATGTTGTGTACGAACGTATAGCGGAGTTCACCAGAGTCCATAACTGCGAAAAGATCAGTTTTCGTTCTTTCGTGCGCATCTTCGCCCTGATTGGCGGTACTTCCAAACGAAGTAGAAAGCGATTAGCGGAGAGCTCACTGCGTTCCCTCACCATCTTTCAACCTGCGCGTCGCAGTTATGGACTCTGGTGAATTCCGCTGTAAAATAGGTATCGCGGCTGAATACAAACGATGTGTACGGACGCAGAATAGACACCTCGACTGGATATATGTAACATTAAATGCCCAGAATCGACACCTCGGCTGGATATATGAAACATTGAATGCCTAGAATCGACACCACGGCTGGATATATGCAACGTTTAAATGCCCAGAATCGACACCTCGGCTGGATATATGCAACGTCTGGGTCCCAATGTTTGTTGCATATATCCAGCTTTTACTGTATCTTGCTTATTTTTTATGATAGAGAAAAATGTTCGAAGGGACAAATATTTTGATGGTTATGAAATCTTTTCGTTTCATCCAAGATTTCAAAATCATTGAAGTTTTTTTAAATGGGACAACATATTTTCATCATCATAGTATGATTACTGAGCTCAAGACGAATCTAACAACCTAGTACTATGACTTTCATGTGACTTTGAGTGCAAAAAATTCATAAAAACTCGATAATCGACGGACAGAGTGAAATAACTCATAGAAAGATTAACAGAGGAAATTTTATTGTAGCAAGTGCTCAAAATTATGTCTAGCAGTTTCAATACAAATTTCCTCTGTTATTCTTTCTATCAGTTTTTATCATTGAATTATGTTTAAATAATTACTTTTATTTCTTTCAAAAAATCAAAACAATTTGTTAATAAAAAATATATTTTCAAATATTAACAATTTTTCAATTTGAAATTTTCCTAAAAGGAAAAATATTTTAAAAACGTTTTAAGATCCAAGAAGAGTACAGTGAAAAAAAAAATTTTTAATAAATGAATGTTAAATCACTTTTACCGAAATATTAATTAAATGAATGTTAAATCACTTTTACCGAAATATTAATTAAGATATTCACTGGCAGGACTAGTTTGCTTAAGAATTACAATATTCTTAATTCTTATTCTTTAAAAGATGAAAAGATGGCAATAAAATTACAACTACTTTCGAAACATTTATAATATTGATATAAATAATCAATTTTATATCAATCCATTCACTACCTCGTTTTTATTATTAATCGCAAAATTAATGTTACATTTGCTAGTAATAACACTATAAGGGTTTCAATAAAACCAAACGAGGAAAAAATAGCGAAACGATCAATCACCGAAGACGCAACGAGTGTAGCATCAATCACCTACATCTGTCGCCGAGAATCCTGTCAAACTGATTTTCAAACCATACAACCTTAAAGAAAAAAGAATTTCCAGAAAACATCTGATGAGTAAACTTTCAATTCCAGACGCACAGCCGACGTTCGTTCGGTAGGTTATTCCGAGCTATTCAGCCTTTCTCGCGAGGACGTCCTAGCCGCGATGAAGGACTACCCGGAAGCGCAGGAGATCCTGCAGAACCTTGGTAAGAAACGACTGATGGAGGCGCAGAGGGTGACGAGGACAACGCGGCAGCCAACATCCCCGGGTCACGATTCCTCGGATAATAGCACTGGTAAAAGGATCGTGGACAAACTGAAGAGCGACGTGAAAGGTCTAAAGAATGCCTTAAGGAAAAGCAGAAGAAACACCAGATCGGAAGAGAGCCTGGAGCTTCAGCCGCTGACGTCAAAGACGCATACATTAAAGAGACAGCAAAAGGTCGACGATGGTCAGGTTGCATCCGCATCGAACACCCAAGAACCACCTGTATCACCTCTCGGTGCTGGGCTACCTCTGCTAGCTAGACTGAGATTGTTGAAAGAGAAAGAAGAACGCGAGGAACGTCGAAACTTGATGGAAACACAGGTACACTCTCCGGAACCGCAACAGCAACCACAGCCTCCCCAGCAGCAGCAGCTGCCGCAGCCCTTGCAGCAGCCCTCACAGCAGCCACCGCCGCAGCAGCAACCCCCACCACAGCAACAGCAGCAGCAGCCACCAGCGATTCCGAATTTGCCTTTCTTCCAAAGAAGGAAACAGGCCATCAAACAACTTCCCATACAGAGCCCGGTGGATCAGACGGTTAAATCCCCATCCACCAGTTCCAACGTGGATGTTTCCAATGGTACAAACGCGAAGAAGCCGTGGGCCATGCTGAAGGATGCTTCGATAACCAACAAAGAGAATTCACCGCAGAGGAGCCCGCCTGTAAGGAGGCTACAGCTGAAGCAAAGTCTGGTACACCTCAGACAGCAGACGAAGATGTACGCGTCTGTAGACGACCTGTCGCCTGAATACTGCGGTCTGCCATTCGTCAAGAAGCTGAAGATATTGAACGAGAGACAGAAGTTGGCGGAACTCGAGAAAGCGGTTAGAAGTTCGAGCCTCGACTGCGGCGAAAATACCGAACTCGAGTTTGATGGCAACCTAACCAGAAGTCATTCGGAAGCGTGCGCTATCGAGTATGCCAGGAAATTGAAGAAACTGAATCAGGTAGGCAAAGTTTTCGTCGAATCTTCGAGCCGTCAGAGATGTTCACCCGGTTGTCGCTTATGATCATTATAACTGTAGAAAGAGAAAAGTAGAAACAATTGGAAAAAAATAATGACTTTAATGATTATACATCATATATTAGCATTCAGCGCTTTGATTTATTTACATTAGCAAGGTAAATGATCGAGTCAATACATCTTTGCATTGATCTAACTAGGATCTTTTTCGGAGACAGAATTTTTTTTTTAATTTTTGGAATTCTGAAATTCTGAGATTCTAAAATTTTGAAATTATTGAATTATGGAATTATAGATTCTTTTTTATTTATTCTAAAAAAGTAAAGTTAGTTTAATAATTTGCATTGAAACAGTAATGTACATGGAACTGTTATGCCAATTGACGTTAATATACAGGGTGTCCCAGAAAAAGTATTAGTCCTTTAAGGAGGTGGTAGCTGGGATGATTCTGAACAACATTTCCCTTCGCAAAAATGTTGTTTGAAGCTTCGGTTTTGAATTATTAAGGAAAACCACTGGCCAATCAAAGCGCGCATGGCGCGCGGGCTCGACTGCGAAAGTTGGGCTTGACCTTAAGGCTGGTTCAGACACGGCTGGTAGTTTAGTCGAGTGGCGAGTAGTTTAGTGTATGGACACTAGAGTTTAGTCGAGTAGTTTAGTAAAACGGTTTAGTCGAGTCGATCCGTTTCATTGGATTTTTCTGGTCGGGTAGGCTTCCCCCACCACTAACTAGGCTTGCCCCACCATTAACTAGGTTTCCGAACCGACCTGTCCAGACCCATTTCTTTAGTCAAGCGATATATCTTGTACTCTCGATTTCCAAAGCTCAACTGTACTAGTCCGGGCACTTTGCTATGCGCTAAACGGTTTAGTAGCAAGTAGCTACTCCCCACTCGACTAAATTACTAGCCGTGTCTGAACCAGCCTTTAGTCCCGAACGAACACTTTCAGCACCCTGCTGTCCCTGAGTCCGCGCGCTATACGTGTTCTGATTGGCCGGTGTTTTTCACCCCAGCTACCATCCCCTTAAAGGACTAACACTCTTTATGGAACACCCTGTATACATATACATATACAATGTATTATGATTCCACAACAGTGTACCTAACAGACAAGGAGTTATCGTGTTTAACTAATATGATAATTAATACTAATTCTTAAGCCTTCCAAACTTCATATATGTACCTGTGCAAGGTTAGATGAGGAAATTCGAATGAACTAGACCATTTATGCCTAAAATACAAATTTTTTAATTAAAAAAAAACCAGAAATTTAGTTTCAATTTTTTGTGTATGGTGTATTATATTTGTAAATATTTTCTACATGTTTCATTGAAGTAAAATTTCATAAACTCCTTTTAATAATACAACAATAAAAAAATGTCGAATAATTTTTATTGAAATAAAAATCTATCCAAATTAAAAGTAATTCGTTATGCTTAATTATTTTTGTTATATTCAAAATTCTGACCATAACCCGACTGAATTTTTATTACAATTACTTTGAAACGTTTTCACCTTTAGAGTCGACGAAGTTCGACATCACCAACGGATCCATTATCGCCTGAGAACGAGACGTTAGAAAGGCGGAACCTGAAGAGCATTCTAAAGAAATTGTCGGCAGGAAGTCGAACGGGAAGTTCAGAAACTTCGGCAACCAGCACTCCAGATCGCGAAGCGGCCACTGCCGAATTTCGAAAATTAATGAGAGCACCAACTATTGAGGGTTACGCCGCGAGGCATTCGAAACTGTCGAAAAGTGTCACGTTTAACAAGTATACGTTGCAAAGTCCACCGTCCGAGCAGATCCCAGGGAATTATCCGGTTGGATCTCAGTTGCCCGACTCCCAAGAGCAGGCCTCACTGCCACCGCCCAATAAACTCAGTTTCCGTCCTTTGGGCAGCGGAGGTATGCTGCAAATGGTATCATCTCGGCCACGAGAAGAGGAATACTTGGGAGAGTTGGTGTCTGGTATCAGAGAAATCGTTAAAGGTCGTCTGGTAAGTTCTTCCTCGTAAATCACTTTATAGATAGTTTAACCCTTTCGTAACTAAATTAACTTTCTTAAAGAATTTGTAATTCATTTGCTGATTATCGCGTTTAAAATAGATGTCAAATATTAAAAACATTCTCTTTTTATTATCTTTAATCTGGCGTAGACTGCAGGCTCTTTAGCGACGTTTGAGCTGAATTTCGATTTCTTCCAAGTATATTTTCATACAAAAATCCCCTAATATTTTATATAGTATTTGTTCAAATAGATGGATATTTAAATACCAGTTATTGGCGTAACTAGGATGGCTAGGGTGGACTGAGCCCTCTAGAAATCTAGACTGACACCTGCCCAAAAATTAAAACCTACAGTATTTTAAAATTTTAAGATTTTAAACTTGCAAAATTCTAAGATTCTGCGATTCTGTGATTCTAAAATTCTAAAATTCTAAAATTTCAGAACTATAAAATTCCAAATTTTCAAAATGTAAAAATTTTAAAATTTCTATGGGACCTGACCCGCCCCATAAAGGGGTCCAAGTTACACCAATGCTACCAGTGAAATTTCGATTTTATCTTTGAATAATTAAAGCTCAACAGGTGTGACGAGCCAAGTCGAAATTGATCGATAATTAATCAGTCATGTTGACATAACACGACTGAAATTTAGCGGTTTCGTAGTTCAAAGATTTTGAGGCTAAGAAGCAATATTTTCTGATGATTCCTTTTTTCAAAATACTTTTTGTACAATTATATAGCGGCTTACAGAACCCAATTTTCCAATTTGATTTTTAAAACCTTATAAAAGATGCATTTTCATAGAGGACAAATTTTTTTTTACTTTTTTTTCTAATAGATTCTAATAATCTCTGTATACTTCTCCTGAATATGAATATCATAATTATTACACGTTTCTTTCAGAAAGTGAATTACTTTTTCGTATTCCACAATTACTCCACTAGAGGTGCTAGTGGAAGTCTTGTTGACCTTTAAATTACTTCAATAATATGGACATTTTAATACACGAAGTGTTTCAATTTTGAATTATACCAAATGTGTATTTTGTTATATTTGGAATATTCGAATATATAATCCTTAGGAATAAATTCATTTGAATAAACATGAATCCTATAAGATTACATTGAATTACATTGAATGTGGCCTGCCTTTCCAAAATTATTTTAAATATTTAAATATTTGAAGTGCATAAAATATTCGGTACAATTGGAAATGCAAACACTTGGGATATTAGAATTATTCAAATAAAGAATTCATATTCGAATAGTCCAGCTATTCCAAATTTCACAATCCCCATTTACCTAAACATTCTACCAAATAGCATCACACAAGAATTGGATTTGATGGTCCCTTTAGGTGCAACGGCAAAAAAATTAACTGGAACATATATGTTCGACTGGTCACGAAAAGATTAAAACTCTGCGTGAAACAGATGCTTTCATAGTTATCTATTGTGCAGCTGAATATTTGGGCGCTCTTTTGGCGTGCAATGATAAGCAAAATTCTTTTCATCCTCTTTTTCAAAATTTTTTTCATTTTTCACTCACAGAGATAAATAAAAAATTATTTAGATAAATATCTCTTTTATAGTATACAAGGGAATAATTGAGGTGTAAGTCAAGTGGTATAAGTCAAAATAGTTACATACCAAAAAATGTTAATTACATCAAAGAATATAATATAAAATATTATATTTGTTATAGTATGTACGCCACTGAAAATTTATAATGTCACTTTAAAATATAATGTCACTTTTCCTCGAAAATTAAGGTGTGTGTATAATCATTTTATAGAATATTTTACGAACTGACATTATTATTATTGCACATAATTTCTATATCATTGAGATAAACGGTTTTTACATATTTTATTATTCACGGAGAAATCAATGAAAATATACTCACACATAAATGAGTAAAATAACTGAAAACATCAATAATAATACTGACCGTTTTTATCAATTTTTACAATTTTTTATAAATGGATACGACATAAAGAATTGACAATTATATAATTTCTTATACAGCGCACAAAACAAGGAGTATTAGAATTATCACAAATATCGTGGTATTTTTTAAAATAATACTTATACCTCGTTAATTTTACAAAAAAGGTAGCAATCAAAAAATTCCAAAATAATCACAAATATTAAATTACATTTTTGCATAAACCCTTATTTCTGTATATAAATAATCTTTTATTTAACAGTGAATAATATTTTTCATCTCACAAAATCTATACTAAAATTTACGAAGATGAAAATGTGCAATTCTTCAAAACTTCACCGATATCGTGAAATATTTTTTAAAAAGAAGCGCACTCTAGAAAAAGTTCTTCAAGATTCTTTACAGTTAATTTAAAGTAATTTCCTTCAAAGATATTGGCTTCCAAGTTAGCAATTCCGAAGTTAGTGGCTCACATGAAGTTTCTGCACGCCTTACTCACAACAAGTTTGCTTCGAAACCGCTTATAACGTCGTTCTATTTGCATATTATTCCCTGTTTACAAATCACTAATATATTACTCGGTTGCCTGCTCTAACCAACGACATCCAAATCCTGTTAACTTACAAGTTCACCAATTTAAACTATATCCACTAATTATGATATTCAAATTAACATCGTAAATTGTGATCTATAGCATACAAAATTTTTCATTTTAATTAGCAAATAGATGCATTAGAAGTAACATAGTTCAGAAAATGGAAAGGATTGAATTCAAAAGCATAACAAAGAAAAATTATAAAAGGTTGAAAGTATTTTAATTTGATTAATAAAATACTTCAATAGATTAACAATTATGTTCAAATTTAATTTAAAATTTATTCAAGAGAAGTCCATTCTAATCCATTTCTTTAATTAAATATCTGAAACCCTCTTCTACTGATGAAGAGGTAGTTTGGAATAAGAAGGGGCTGATTGCCAGAGCTGACAATAACTTCGTTTCCTCTTCATATTATTATACATATATTATCCGTTTTCCGTCAACAATTTAAATCTATTCAAAAAAGAGCAACGAAATACTAATCCAATTTACCAAATTCTGATCCGAGAGGTCTTATTGTAAAATCATTTGAAATACCATTAGGGATAAGTTAAACTATTAAACTATTGGTGAAAGTACCGAATAGGACCCACCCCGCCAATCCTTGACTTTGATATACGTTATGGAGAATACCCTATTGAATAACTTTTCCTTACAACTTCACCGGCGGTCGTTGTTTATTAAAAAGTTATTAACACTTTTATCGCGTTATTAACCCATTACACCCAACTGTAATGAAACCCTAACCTAATCTAACTTAACCTGATTTCTATTTTGTTATCATACTCGTGGGAAATAAAAACGTGGTTACGGTTAAGTTATGTTAGGGTGTTTCTAGAGGCCATACATCAACTTCAGTACTAAAATATATAACTAATATCACAGCATTTCGACTTTGAGTCAAGTTAGATTTGATATTTTTCTGAATTAAACTTTTTTTTTTGTTTCTAATTCTTGTATAAACAATGGTTATGCCATAAGAAAAGTTACTCAGGAGGGTAACTCCATATTATATATTACGGTCAAGGTCATTGGAGAGAGTGCCCTATTCGGTATACTTATCAAACTATTTCTAAATTTTTACAAACCACATAGAAAATTTTAACTTTAGACATATAGAATTTCAAATATTTGAAAATATCTTAAATAATGAGAAAAGGGCAAATAGGATACTTTAATTAAAAAGAAAAATATTGTCGTTCGCTGACAAGAAATCCCATGGAAATAACACAATCAGATGTAACGTAGAATTGGTTGAAGTTGTTACATCTACTAATTAGGTTCATCTATGTACAACTGCAATCAGTCGATCTGTACACAGTACCCCCTCTTGCCCCTCTGCCATCCCGCAATATTTCTTGTGAGTGGAGTACTATATGATTCTCTCCCAAGTGTACTGAAAGGAAATTCCGCTACACCAGTATGAATGGGCCCAAGCCCTTTTCTGTTATCGGTATCTCGACAGGGGTGCATACTGCAGCTGTGTGCGTGAAAATGTGTGTAATGAAACGGAAACATTTAAATGGGACTTTCCTTCTTGTTACACACATTTTCACGCACACAAATGCAGTATACACCCCCGTCGTGATACCGATGACAGAAAAGGGCTTGGGCCCATTCATACTGGTGTTGCGGCATTTCCTTTGAGTACACTGGTAAGAGAATCAAGCTGTATAAAGATTTCGCCTGGTACTCCGCATATACTGGCCGGCTCTCTAAAATTACACAAGCCTAATTAGTAGATATTACCGCTTGACCTGAAGTGGAACATCAGAGTAACATCTTTATAGCTCCCTAACGGTACTTACATTCTCTACCCAGCTTACGATTAATAATAATTCAAACAGACTAATTCTAAACAATATCCGCACGATTATAATTAAAAGAACCAGTCCAATCATCGTGTACCCCAAGTCTGAACCAAAACAAAACTACCGCCTCTTGGTTTACTAGTCACCTGCCCAACAGTTGATTCACCTATACCGACGCTCTTTCAGGAGGACATCCAGACGAAATTCGAACGGCAGTTTACGTCGTTAGAGCTGGAAATCCGCAAAAGGGACGAGATAATATCGCAGCTGCAGGCAAGGATACAGGAGCTGGAGCACCGAGAGCTGCATAACGGAGACGATTCCCCCGGGGACAGCACGGAGCACGACGCCTCGTTCGAAGAGGATTTGGACGACGATCGGGAGGATCATCCTTTCATGAGGGACGGCTCGGTGGACACTGTTCTGACCACTCGACCACCCTACAAACGTTCCTCCCCCTCCGGCTCGCACAACAGAAGGTCCTGGGAGGAGCATTCCGAGGAGGAGACGCTGGAGCTTCAGGAGTTACCCAGCTCGATCGTTCCTCACAGTTTGTGGAAGGACGAGGTGGCGATCAATCTGGAGTCGAACAGCGATAGCAGCAGATCCGACGACGAATTCGACGAGCGAGCTAGCTGCAGAACCGACAGCGATAACGACGAAGACGAGGATGAGGGTGATGTGCGTCGACATGGTCACAATAACTGGGAAGTGGCGATGCTAGCTCAGGAACTTGAGGCCAGACGGAGGAGCAGCGAAAACGCGAACCCGGGTTCCTAGCGCATTAACGAGATTCTAGATGTACTGTGTTACCTCACGAGCACGTTGCATCCCGAAGGCTGGTGCAACGAACCAGCTGCAGCTGGGAGTGCAGCTTTCTGCGAGAACGATTGTCCTTACTTACAGTTAGACTTCGAGAGCATGACCAGCTGTAGGGAGACTATGATGTAATCCTGAAGTAATTCTAGTCGAGGGGGGGGGGGGGGATCGTTCCTTTTCTAATTATGATCCTGAGCTTCTGTGTCGAGATTCGTGGGCCAAAACGTATCATCTCCGCGGGAGTGTACGCTTGTTTCTAAAGCCTGGACTAAGGTTAAGTGTTCGCCCGTTAAATCGTCACCTCTTTACGTTTTAGTCGCACTCTCTCTCTATGGACGTCCAGTGCTTGTCCGCCAGGTTTATTCTTCACTTTCACCAACAAAAGATGCCTGTTCGTTCCTTTCGTCTCATTTTTCTTCACCTTCGAGTGAAACTCTTTAAAAGAGCGACATATGTATTTTATTTATTGATATGCAGGGTGTCGCGTTACTGCTGGTACAAGCGGAGAGAATATTTCTTGTGCATAGGTAAGGTAAAAATATGGGATTTAATTTTATCATCCAACACTTCGTTTTCAAGAAAATATACTTTGAAAGTTGTAGGAGATATGCCTTTAGGTAGGAAAAAAAGAATTTGAAATTTTTTTATTTTTTATTTTATTAAGTACATCTTTAGAAATTTCTAGTCATTTTTTAATGTAGAAATAATCAAAAATTTAAAAGATATTGCTTCATTTTTTACGAGATGTTTTTTTGAAGACGTTTTATAATGACCATTGTTAACTGAAATTGGGTTATCAGAAATAAAAAATTCAAAAATTTTTAGATAATATATTAAATTATATAGTTCTTATTGGATCGGTACTTTGAAAAATTAAATTGGAAAGAAGTGATGGCAGCTGAAAGTTGAGATATCGATTTTTTTACCCACGAAATGAAAACTGAGCAAAAAACCAAAAAGCTCCTGATAGAGATTAAATAATTTAATATATTAATATATTAACAATTTTATGAAATCCCCAAGGCAATTTTATTTTCTTTTTTGAGAAAGCAGAAATTCATATTGCATAACCCAATATTCTCCTGTTATAAATTACTTTTACTATCATAATACTTATATCTAGATTTTTCTTCTTTTTTTATTCAAAAAATAAACCTGGGTCTTTTGCAAAGATAAAGTAGGATATTGCTTGTAATCCCCTTTCAGTAGTGTCCCTTGTTAAGCCTCCATCAGTTTTTTCTCAAATCCTTAAATCCTTAAATCCTTGAATCCTTAAATCCTTGAATCCTTGAACCCAGTTTTGCATAAAATACTTTGATTTTTGCATATATTTTCCGACCGTTGCAAAATACATTTTAGGTTCTTTTAGATAGCGACACAAGGAAACTGCTTCGAATCTCTTCAGGTATATTGACTTCATCATGGAGAATGCTTTCCTTCAAAAAATTTAAAAAATGTCGAAGTGATCCAATATATGTATTAGGTATCAGTCCACATCCGAAATGCTTATAATTTTTTATTATAATTATTTCTTACCTGAGTATTTTATATTGTTGGGACAATGTTTTACCTATTTTTAATTATTATTTTATTAAAAATAATATTCTCTACAATCAGATTGTTTAACTGTAACTAATTATTAATTAAATAACAATTTATTTTCTTTTTTGTTTTTTTTTTTTTCAATCTTTGACATCAGGTGTTAGCCAACATTACCAACGGAGACCTTCATAGAAGTTTTTTTTTTACATCTTTAATTAATGATAATTAGTTATCTACTAATATCCTAGTTTTTCAATTTGAATTTTACAATCTTAAATGCTTATTTGAATTTTTTTAAATAATTTTCTTGGAAACAAAACATTGTATGAAAAAATTTCATTACACATTTTCAACTTACTTTTATTAAGTGTACAAATTATTTCGATACCTTTGCTAATTACTATTTTAGATTTGAATATTTCACAGATTTTAAATACTACAAAAATATCGATAACTATAATGATTATTTCAAAAATTGAAATTACTGTGACTTTTGAAAAATATATTTCTTATTAAAATTTTTAAAAAGTACTGAATTGATTTATACATCTTATACGTTCCGCTTGTACCTGGAACTATATGACACGCTGTATAATGATCATTGGTTTGATCATTAGCATGTTACTAAAATTTTATATTCGTTATTCTAGATCGAATAGATCATAATGGACATGGTTTTACGAGGGAATGGAATGGAGAGTACACATAGCTGTACGTGTCTAAAAAGTTACAATATAAGTTCTTTTTCAAATTCCAAGTTCATAGTGATTTAATCCTGTATTTAGATATTCATATCTAAGATAAAGACTTAAACTAAAAAGTAATGTTTTGCGTGCTATGTTAATAAGAGCGAAGATGCGAATATTTCTTGAATGTTACACCAAATGTGTTAGCGGAATTATATTCATGGTTAAGGTTAATTTATTCATAAGGTCGCAGTCAGTTTCTTAAGTTTTCATCTGAATTTCGAAGTTAGTCGATTCGCTTCAGACGTACGGATATCATTGGGTTATACAGCTTCCCGAAGTTCTCAAACGACCTCACGATTATACAGGGTGTCTTGACAAAGTGCGTTGGTTTATTTTATAGGTAAACATTTAAAAAAAAAAATTACACATCTCTAGTTTTATTTCTTAAAAAAGTAATTAATAACACAATTACTGACACTCAGCAAAATTCTCAGGAACTTTGCAGTATAATAAATTCCATAATAATGTCGGGTGCAGTTAGTAGGCTTCTCTTAATTAGGAAGATGAATAGGGGAAAATGTGTGAACCTCCCAAGGTGGAAGGTTTCTCTTCCAATCTTTTCCCTTAGCCAAAGGAAACCTCCATTGCACTTAAGTACATTCTCGCAGCTTAGACTTCTTTTCATTTTACTTGTTTCTCCATATTTTCTATTTGCCAAAACGAGAGGTTAGATCAGGTTCTCCTTAGGCTCCCTCTCAGTCCTAGAACTTAAGCTCTCCCCACATTTTCCTAGGTTCTCCCTAAGTTCTTCCTAAGTCTTAGAGCTGAGGACCTCTTCAATTTTTCTCTAGGTTATCCATGGATTCTCCTAAGTCTTAAAGCTGAGGACCTCTTCAGTTTTTCCCTAGGTTCTCCCTAAGTTCTTCCTAAATTTTAGAGCTGAGGACCTCTTCAATTTTTCTCTAGGTTATCCATGGATTCTCCTAAGTCTTAAAGCTGAAGCCCTCCTCAATTTCTCTCTTGATTATCCCTGGGCTCCTCTAAATCTTAGAGCTGAGGCCCTTCTCAGATTTTCCCTAGGTTATTCTTGGTTTTCCCTAAGTCTTAGAGCTGAGGCTCTCCACAGTTTATCCCTAGGTTCTCCCTAGATTCTTCTAAGATTGGGAAGCCTATGTTGCACCCCAACTTTTTCAAATGAAAAATTAACAATACTATTTGCAAATAATCGTTTTTGATAATACTAATAATGCAATCAAGGCAAGCACAATCGAGTTTTTATACGTTGCAATGGAAAATTCAGCATAACTTCCTGCTTAACTCGCTAATTAAACGTTTATGTAACACTTTTCTTCTTTTTTGATCTACAGAATATACTCTCGCACTTTGTAACTAAATACCCTGTATAAAGTAAAAATGGGCATCCGGAATCAAATCTGGCTTGTTCTTACTCTGTATCTATACCCTCAGGTGACTTGTGATCTGGATAGGATACGACACTAATAATCGTCAGTAAGTATTTCTCAAAGATTTCTCAAGATATAGTTATGTAACAAGAATGATTATTGTATATGTATCTAAATTGGTGATTGTATATGATGTTCATTAAGTTTGTATATAACAAATGATGTACAGTCGAAGACAAAGTCATCAGATATTGTTGTCATTCTCAAATTTTCAATAAGTATTAGATATCAAATGTTTGTCACGGCCACATATTTTCAGCTGCCCTTTTTGATATTCTATACTTTTGAGCTGTTCTACGGTAATTCAAATCGTTACAGCAACTAGATAGGATTAAATTTCGAATTTATTCTAAAATTTCTCTTTTTGTTACTACCATATTTTTTCATAAATAATTTTCTAATTCTCGAGTACCGGACTGTCGATGTCTTTTCCATTTGTTTGTTTTTAAGTATTGCGTTATTCAACTGTTTTAATTTTATATGTAATTTTCTCCATTGGTTACATTGTCGATTTAACATTATTTATTAATGCTATAATATTGACACTAACCTCAGTTATTTATGTAACATTAAGAGAATTTATAATAATTTAAACTTAAGTTTATATGAATAAACTTAAATACTGAGTTCTGATTATACCTTAGTAATAACTACAAAGTTAAATTAAAATTTTGATTCTCTCCATGGTCCGCAGTCTTGTAAAATTCAAGTACACTGCTTGTTAATAGCTCGTAACCAATGATTGATAGAATAAATTTTTATTTCTTATTTATTTTGTAGCATTTTGCATCAATATTATATTAAAATTATGTATTTTACAATCAAAATTTAGATTTGAATTTGACTTTTACAATGAACCATTTAATTGTGTCTACGACTGTATATCAAAGTAGATGTAAAACTGATATTGTATGTAAAAAGTAATTATTCTTATTACTTGACTGTTTTTTTGAGAAATCGTACTTACCGACTGTTACCGACATCCAGAGGAATGACCATGGAGTGGATGCAAATTCTACTCCGGATGGCCATCTTTGATTAAACAATGTTACCTCGGTGAAATATCGCGTATATGGTACAAATTTCGATTATTTTATCTTGTATTCGTCTAATTATCATTCCGAAGCCTGATTGTGTCAAGAAAACGTGATAGTTGCCACAGTACGTACAGTAGGTGATGAAATTATTAGAGCTACCTCCATAATTTAATTTTTTTAATTAAAAATTGCACTTAAGTTTTATTATTATTTTTTTCTTTCGAAGTATTAACATTCGCAAATTGCAAATTTGCAACCCCATGGATATTATTTTCTATCAAAAGCACACTCTTCCTATTTTACCTCTAATAACTTAATCACCTGCTATAGTACAATACACAAGGTGTTCACCGTAATTGTGTACACGATTTTTGAAGCACTTTCGATAATGTAAGAGAAGAATCTTTCAAATAAAATTTTATCTGTTTCAGATCAACTACAAATTGCAGTATTCAAAATTCCCAAATAATGCTTTTTTAAGTAGCATAATGCATGTTTTAAGTAACATTGCAACTGATGTCAGGACGAGTTCAGCGGCCTAAAACATCCTAACCTTCGGATGATCTTGACTTCAGAAGAACGGATTAGATTCACAGAAATATTGAATTGTGAATCTGATTTAACACCCTATTAAACCAAATTTCACCATTTGACATTCTGTGAATCTAACCCTTTCTTCTGACGTCAAGGTCATCTGAAGATCACAGTATTATAGATCGTTGAATTCATCTTGACATAAGTTGCAATGTTATGAAATCAAAAATGCATAATGTTATTTAAGAAAACCAAGGTGACCTTGACTTTTTATTGAAAATAGCATTATTTGAGAATTTTGAATACAGCAATTCGTAGTTGATCTGAAACAGATAAAATTTTATTTGAAAGATTTTTCTCTTACATTATCAAAAGTGTTTCAAAAATCGTGCACACAATTACAGTGAGCACCCTGTATAATTATTCTAATTTTAAATTTAAGCTTTCAACATCTTATATTGTTAGCATGATATTAATATTATACAAAATTATCTTTTATTTTCTCCTTTTTTAATTATTTGAATATATTCAATTTGTGGTGACGACCATTAATGGTCTCCCACAACAGTCCACACGATGAAGTAATAATTCCATTATAATTTATAAAGTTTGGAGTTTGTAACTTTCACAATGTACGTATACTGTAAAAGCAGCAACAGTGTTGGCAAACCTCTGTGAAAGTTTCATTTCTACGAAGAGGTTCGCTCGTGGAGCCAAATATCTTGAAAGAGTATAAGAAGTGCAATTATATTATTTTTAAGGGTCGAGCAATTATGTTAAGTTGGTGCACATAAAGTGTTATAATTTTTAATCAAAATAATTTCCATTCAATTTTTTACATGTTCTTAACCGACCAGTTTTATTTTAATAAAAATCACCTGATTTGGGGAATAAAAAATCTTCGAGAAAATCACGTTATCGAAAACATTCTTCAGTCCCTCCTATCGAATAATTATAGTTGCGCCACTGTTTCAGGATGAACATTTTATGTGCACCGACTTAATATTTTCACGTTACACACAACTTCTCTCTCTCTCCGTTTCCATAAATTCATAAAATCCAATTTTCCTAAGCTCCAATAAAGTTTCTCTTTGTCCACGCGCAAATAGACTACAGTTTCGATCAACTTACTTTATCATCTGATAGACACAATAAGTGGCTAAGTATGAGTATCCTCTTGATTGCAAAAAGTCATTATAGAAATAGATCGTGTTTCCAGAAGTGGTCCATTACGTTTAATTAACGTTAATGTATTAAGTTTCTCATTTCAGCGTTTATTATATTCCTTTCAACTAAAGACAAGACTTTTAATTATTATTTTAAATTAAACTCTCAAACAGATGCAACGTCATTTTTACCCATAACTGAACTTGAAACATTATTATTATGCACTAATTTGAAAGTTGAGGTTTGTACAAAATTTACAATACATTTCCGTGTGTAAATATTATATTACGTTTAAATATAATTGATTATACAGGGTGTTCTACAACAGGTGGGCAAAATTTTAAGGGGTGATTCTAGGGATCAAAATAAGACGAAAATCAAGAATAACGAAATAGCGTTTGCGGCTTTGTTTTCCAGTAATTAAAGTTTAAAAATTCGAATAAAATGCGCCTGAAACCTGCAACCCGCCCAGCACCGACGAATGAACGTCAGGTCGGCAGGGGTTGGTACAGTCATAACCAAGAATCGTTGAATAGTAGAAACTTACCTCGTGTAGCAGAAACGTACCGACCCCTGCTGACCTGACGTTCAGTCGTGGGTGCTGGGCGGATTGCAGGTTTCAGGCGCCTTTTACTCGAATTTTTAAACTTTAATTACTGGAAAACAAAGCCGCAAACGCTATTTCGTTATTCTTGATTTTCGTCTTATTTTGATCCCTAGAATCATCCCTTAAAATTTTGCCCAACTGTTGTCGAACACCCTGTATACAGGGTGTCTCAGAACTCCCGTTACACCCGAAAATAGGGATTGGTGGGTTGATTCTGAACAACTTTTTCCTTTACCAAAATGTTGATTGATAATTTGTTTTTGAATTATTAACGAAGAGCACTGGCCAATGAGAGCGGGCGTAGAGGGCGCGCTCAACCACGAGAGTGTAGGCTCTCAACCGCGCTCGGTCGTGGTCGTGAACAAACGCATTGGCATAGCGTGGATATCGAGGGAAGCGTGTGACAAAAGTTACATCGTATTAAATTAAGAACAATGTGGCATTATTCGGTATTCATGAATAACCCACGCTGTGCCAATGCGCAGGGTCGGCCCTGGGTCTAGGCAGAGTAGGCGGCCGCCTAGGGGCCCCATAAGACGATTTTCCATCTAAGAATGCAAGAAGAGTAATGTTTACTTGAATATTAATCGATGTAAATGCAAATCTAAATTAGTTATACAAGCTTTAATGTTAATTTTGTGAAGGGGCCCTTTTTCGGAGCTCGCCTCGGGCCCCGAAATCTCAGGGCCAGCCCTGCCAATGCGATCGTTCACGACCAGGACTGAGCGCGGTCGAGAGCCAACACTCTCATTGGCCAGTGTTTTTCATTAATAATTCAAAAACGAAGCTTCAACCAACAGTTTGGTAAAGGAAAAAATTGTTCAGAATCACTCCAGCAACCCCCTATTTCCGAGTATTTCCTGTATAAAGAAACAAATATAAACATATAGGTACGTACATTTACGTACATTTGTTTCATAAATAAATCTGTTACATTTTGCATATTTTATTCCTGCAGCTGATTCCAAATGACCCTGCATCTGCCAAAATTAATTTAAATTAAATTTTATTCCATTTATCCTGATTTTCTTACTCGAAATGTATTTTTCAGTTAAAATATACTGTCGTTGCATTGTAAATAATCACAGGTGCCTGAGAGGATATTATACTTGGGGTAATTAGAATTAATGAGTAAGCACCTACCTAAATGTGTAACTGTGTACACCGGACGGACGATAATTAATTCTTAACGATAATATCGGGTTTCTCGAATATTTCTGCGATTATCCTTTTCAATTATCTGCCTTAGCCAATTGCGAGCCACTTGTTATGAATTTCCAAAGCGAATGAACGTTTTCCTTTTTTTTTTGTTACAGATCAACTTATACCTCTACGTACAATGGCGACCAGTTACTTAAGACTGTTTTGTAATTTAAGAAACAGACATGGCTGTCTTTTTAAAAATACGGCTTTTCACATGACAAATTTCACAAGACTAAATCAAATTATTGTTATCAAGGGGGATTAATTTAACGAATCAAATGGTATAAACATTACTTGGAAGTATACATTACTGCTCGAAAATTTAATCGCATCTGTCAAAATGTAATATGTACTGTCTGTCAAAATTAATATGTATTATTTTTTTATCGTTAGTCCTCAACAATTTTATTTAAGTTATTTATTTGGGTTTAGAAGTTATGTCTTCTCTTATGGTGTCCCCAGCAACTAAGTTAAGATGTATTTTTAAAATGGTATAAGGTAAAAAAAATGCCATTAGAAGGAATTAAATAGTGTCCAAAAGAGTATCAGGTGTTGTGTGTGTCGATTTCGGAAATGAAGGCGTTTCAAAGATTTCAAGGTCACCTTTACTTTTTTAAATGGAATTATATACTTTTCTAGTTTTCATTTGATGAATCGTTTTATTTTCTATAAAAAGTCATTAAAACGCTTCGATCGAAAATTGATTAGTTCAAGAGATATCTTAGGGTTAGACAGGGAAAGCCCGCTAGTCTAATTACATTTTAAGAAATTTTATTGGAATTTTGTACTGTGTTACCTATCATTTGAAGCGATTTTTAATTCTCTACAAAAAAGTATTAAGGTGCTTTAGTCGAAAAATCATCAGTTCAGAAGATATCTTAGGGAGAATTAGGGAGAGCCCAGTAGTCTCTCCCTAAGATATCCTTTAAAATAATCAATTTTCGATCCAAATGCCTTAGTGCGTTTTTATAGGGAATAAAAAGACGCTTCGATTAACGTATAGAGAAGTATACAGTTTCATTTAAAAAAATGAAGGTGACCTTGAAATCTTTGGAACGTCTCCTCTTCCGGAATCGACAGACACATTAGGTGATGCTCCATTCAACACCATTTAATTTTACCTGATGAAATGCAATATACATTAGTTTTTCATTGTTTTTCAAGTTGCTACATAACAGTATAAAAACATATGGAAAGTATTCATGACTTATAAATTTACAATAGAATTATGTTTTTATTATGTTAAAAAATTGTCAATATCTCTTAACCTCAAACGCCTCGACCATGGATAGAGTCCTGATTTCAATTTAATTTTGTACTTCATATTATTTTCATTTTCTAAACAACTGTTCCTCTATAAATTATTCTTTCATTATACAAAACTTTAAAAATTATACATTTACCGTTAGGTTAATTATACAGGTTGTTCGACAACAGGTGGGCAAAATTTTAAGGGGTGATTCTAGGAATCAAAATAAGACGAAAATCAAGAATAATGAAATAGCGTTTGCAGCTTTGTTTTCCAGTTATTAACGTTTAAAAATTCGAATAAAAAGCGCCTGAAACCTGCAATCCGCCCAGCACTGACGACTGAACGTCAGGTCAGCAGGGGAAGGTACAGTCATAACCAAGAATCGTTGAATAGTAGAAACTTACCTCGTGCTATTCTATTTCTCGGTACTGCGGTATTCGGCTTCGATTCTTAGTTATGACTGTACCGACCCCTGCTGACCTGACGTTCAGTCGTCGGTGCTGGGCGGGTTGCAGGTTTCAGGCGCTTTTTACTCGAATTTTTAAACGTTAATTATTGGAAAACAAAGCCGTAAACACTATTTCGTTATTCTTGATTTTCGTCTTATTTTGATCCCTAGAATCACCCCTTAAAATTTTGCCCATCTGTTGTCGAACACCCTGTATACGTTTTGCATGTTTGGGTCACGATTGGTCCTGATTCGTTGTTCAAGGGTTAATTACAACTTTACCATACAAACAGTTGAGTACATAAAATGTTAGCCACGTTTATTTCTCAATCTATAAAACAGCCATAATTAACCAGCCGCCATTGTACCTTTACTATCGTTTCATGAGATATTTGTTAAATAACAAATAATAAAATAAATTATAAATCTGTTGTTACGATGAGATATACTATAGCTATATGCATATACATATGTCACGAGACTACACAGACACGCGTACACATACACATTATATATGTACATGTAAGTCGAGGATTTTAATTGTACTATATCGACAGATTAATTTAAGAACGTTACAAATTATCTTTAGATCTAAGGTTTGGCGCAATTTTTAATGCCTCGAATTCCACCTGCCTGCGATTTATCCCTTCCAACCTCTTCCATCTGCCTTCATTTATGTGATCATTTTCATTTACAAGAACCTGCACCACGAAACAATTTCGACGAATAAATAAACAAAACATACATACACATGTACACATAATAATAATAATTTAATTAAAAAACGAGAAAAAGTTAATGGAAATATATAACGTATACTGACCAGACCAAGCTCAATATTTCTAGAGTCTTTACAAGATAAATAAATCTGTTAAGTGACAAATGAACTATTAATACAAGAGAGGAAATCTATTTAGAAAACTTGTACATACTAGCCTATAATTTATTTATCTATGAATGAGAGGGAGAGAGAGATACATAGCGCGAATGTCTACGACGAGGAAAGATATAGGGAAATGAAATGATACGTGGTGTGTGTGATAGAGAGAGAGAGAACGTGAGAACGCCAGGAAGTAAAAGAGAGAAAGAGAAGAAGAACGGAAAGGAGAGACAAAGAGATAGAGAGCGAGTGCGAATGAAAGGGACGAAAAGAGTGAAAGAGAGTGAGAGAAGGAAATTCAAGAAATGCGTAGATTTCGATGGAATATACAGTGAAAAGCATTTTAGATGCTGATATGTACCTACTACGCGAATGGAAAGAGTATACAATAAAGTAAACAATGTTTTCAAATCTCGTATCATTTTTTTTCTTTATGCGAATTCATATACTGATTATTTCACGTTAATTAAGTGAAAAAAAAATAATGAAATTTGTATTTTATTCGGAATTTTTCGAAACCAAATTAATCAACTTCGATTAAAGCATTTAACTTAAGTAAAATTTTATTACAACGTCCTCATCACCAGTTTCCTTTATTTCTCCAATTTTCAAAAATTTATAATTTTAATTAATATTTTATTTAAAATTCAACTTAAGGGAAGTAAAAAATTTTATTTTAATTTTCCTTTCTTGTTAAAGTTATTTATCACCTTATATTTTTGCATTGTGCTTTTAATATTTGTATTAAGAAATGTCAAGATCAATGACACTAAAACGGTTGATCTTTAAATAACTCAAAGTAATTTTTAAACTAATTCATAATTAAATAAAATACAATTAACAAACATTTGTTTTGCACATTTCATTTCAATTATACTATATTTTCAGGTTTAGTAATAAAATTACAGTTATATTATAATTATTTTAATATATTTTTAAACTTTTTTAACGGGAATGTTCCATGAATATTCTATGAATTATTCCAACCGTTTTCGACGTTTAAATCGAGCGCACTCGAAGCTTTCGATATATATCGAGCGCACTGTGCAATCGTTTAGCTATGAAGTAGCTACATAACCTTGCGATCATAATAATAACAAAAGCGTCGCGGCTGAGTTTTGTTATCAAATATTGTGTGTGCTAAAGTTCTGTTCCAATAAACGCACTGTTCTGTTGTGATGTGGAAAACGTGATTTTGTCTATAATTTTCAAAGGATGGGCGACATAAGGGCCGGCCTCGAGGAATTAAAATTCGACGGGGCCCTTTTCGCCGATGTTAAATACTACGTCAGCGGCGAAGGTGATCCCAAGGTATGGCACTTTACCGTTTCCCGCGTTTTTTCTTTTGTCGCTAATATAATGTCATTAATTTTTTAACTGATGTTATTATAATACAGCTATTAGAAATTATAATTTGTTCACGATTATTTGAATTTAATCGTGATACATGCGAAAGAGGTTATAAAATGGAGTCAAATTTAACAGACTGTAGCTGCTGTGTAAAGATAATCTGAAATCTTTTAAAAATTTGAATAATAATACTTATGTTTTAATACATAATGTATCCGTGTAATTGATTAATTACAGTTGAATATTATTTATAATGAGTAATTAAAATATAAAAGATTTGAGAATTTTAAGTAATTAATGATTTTTAAATACATAAATAATTACTGGATGTATTACAATTTTGTATATATCGACATAACTTTTAAAAATAGGAAATTATTGATAATCGTGTTAATCCATGCCTATAATTCCTGAGCAAAGAACAATATCGGAACAAATATTTTTTTAACTGTTTACAGATCTTAAATTTACTACAAGAAGGAGGAGCAGAAAGATCAAATTATTTTAGTGATTTTGTTACACATTTAATAGCAGGCTATGATGCATTGGAAAATGATATATCTGCTGCAAAGGATATATATGAAATACCAGCAGTTACGCAGAATTGGATTTTATATTCTGTCAGATGCAATAAACTTTTACCGTATCCTAATCTATACAATTTTTAATTTATTGAAAACATTATTATTTCAATATAATCAATTAATTTTTTTTTTTTTAATAGAAATATTTAGCTTTTGTATTCGTATTATTTTCAGAGTATAAACTGATTGATTTCCTTAGCAATATTACTAATATAGACCACACTATTTTTCACCTGAAGATTCACAGTTATTTTCAAATGTAAGAGCGTGCATATCTCAGATAAGCCGTGCAGATAGTAAAAGCTTGTGGGCAATGATCACCTTGCAGGGTGGTAAATGTCAATTACAGTTAGACCGGTATTGTACACATTTAATTACCGGAAAAGCTACTGGATTGAAATATGAAACTGCAATAAGACATCCTATTCAAATTGTAACACCAGATTGGGTAACAGAATGTTGTAGGAAAGGAACAATCGTAAATGAAGTGGAATACCACCCAAGACTTTTAATATATTCGAATAGTTCAACAGCTTTGATTACTGGTTTTATGGATGAAGACACAGAAAATAGTACTGCACAAGAAGAACAAGATAGAACTAAAGCTATGTTGGAACAACTTAAACAACGCATGCCCTGGAATCAACCAAGTCCACCTGTATCTTCCAATACCTCACATAATTTGAACACTGCTAATGCAACCGTTACGACCGTTCCTTATCCAACTAATGCTCCAAATAGTGTTAATACCCAACAACAGCATGTTTTACGACCAATTGCAACCACTGGTTTATCTAATTCATCTACAGTCTCGTCTTCTGCATCTGAGCAAAATGTTAATCAGACTAATTGGCTGCCACAAACTTCTCAGCAAAATAATGTTACTCAAATGAAACCTGTGCCAACACAGTTGCAACAGCAACAACAACAACAATCCGAATTATCTCCCCAACAACCGCCACAGCAGCAACAAATAAACGTACAACAACATTCATTACTGCAACAACAGCAGCAGCAGCAATTAAACCAACAGCAGCAACAGCAACTATCACAACAACTCACGCAACATCAACAATTACAACAACAAACATACACTCAGCAACAACTTATAAGTCAACAACAATCTCCACAATTAGCGTCTCAACAACAGCTCATAAATACACAACAGCCACTCACACAGCAGTCACTCATGCCACAACAACAACAACAACAAATCAACTCACAAATACCTCAACATCAAATATCATCTCCTCAACAACTACTAACACAACAAAAACAATTAAATCAACATCAGATACTTACACAGCAACAAATCAATCAACCACAACATTTACCACAACCACAACAGATTACTACTCAACAACAATTAGTTCAACAACAACAAGTGCAATTAACGCCACAGCAACAACAACAGATAGTTTTGCAGCAGCAACAACTTCCTACACAGCAACAGATTGGAGCACAACCGCATCAATTAAATCAACAACAAGCTCCCCCGCAGCAACTTACATCTGAACAACGACAGCTCATCTTATTACAACAGCAACAACAGCAGCAACAAAAAATTCAACAGATTTCACAGCAGTTGCAACAATCCGCACCTCAGGGTTCACAGCAGTTCGTTATAAGAGACGGTCAATTACAGCAGCAGCCTCAAAATCAACAACTAATGGGACCGAATCAACAAGGTTTTATCGTACAAAGAGATTCTCAGTGGCAACAGCAACAGTATCATATGCAGGTACAACGACAACAGCAGCAACAAAGACCGAGTGGACAATGGACCCAACAGCCGCCCCAACCACCGAGACAATTGATTCAGTTAGATGCTCAAACTCATCAACAACTGCAGCAAATGGATCCTCAACAGAGGGCTCAGTTTATTCAAAAGATTCAGAAACAAAGAAACTTATTGCTACAGAGACAAATGCAAAATCGCCAAGCACAGCAGGGAGCGCATATCGCTGTTATAAGAAGCCCAGGGAAGCCCGTACAGCCGGGTGGTTTACAGTGGGTCCAGCAACCGCAGTTGCCAATGATAGGGCCACAAATTGCCCAAACGCCGGGCCAGAAACCGGTACATCCAGGAGTTCAGCCACCAGCTTTAACGCCAATCAATTCTTCTAATCAGGTGATCGTGCAGACCAGGCAAAACGTGCAGGGTCCTCAAACCGGTCAACCTGGCCAGCCGTTCCAGCAAGCTCAACCTTTAACACCGCAGCATATAGCGCAATTACATATGCAGAAGCAGCAACAAATGGCCAGGCTACAACAGTTGCAACACCTACAGCAACAGCAGCAGCAACAACAGCAACAACAGCAACAGGGTGCGCAACCAGAGCCACCATTGACTTCTTTGCCAAATAACGCTCAGATACCACCGGATCAACAGTTGGTCGTAAATGCAAAAACGAAAACCGCCTTGGCAAACATGCTGACGAATAGATTACAAGGTAGTGCGACCGAAGGTAGCGCAGCCGGCCAGTTAAGACTAATGACTGCCCAACACAGACCACCACCCCCACCGTCTCAGGACCCGCAGCTCCTTGCTGCCTACCAACGGAGAGCTGTTGGAAACATCGCAAATGGGACATCACCGGGAGCCCCGATAAAGATGCAGTACGCTCCGGTGATGCCTCAAGCTAAGGCCCAGTTCTACGGTCACAATCCAAACCTAAAACGTACGCTTTTATACAGTTTTTTCAAAGCTGTTGCTTTATCCTTTCTCTGTATCTCTTTTAGGCCCTACAGATTCTAAGGCAGTGATGGGCAACATTTGCACTCGCGGGCACCGATGCAGGCGCTGTATTTGTCTGATTGGCCTAGCTTGTGAACTTTTTGGCAGACACTTGATCTGCCCATCACTGATCTAAGGAGTTATTAAATACCATTCAGACTAAGAAAGTTACTTGGAAAGGGGGGATGGGCTCAGATCCAAGAGCGAGGAAAGAGGGAAAAATTTCTCCTGGCAAGCTATTGGTATTGGACTAACCCCCTTTTAAGTTACTTGCCTAATCTGAACAGTTTTTTATAAATGCTATGTACTAATTTGAATGAAACTTTGTAGTTGAAAGTTGAAAAAAGGCTGAG